GTAGTGTTTCTATTTAACAAATTTGTGAAATGCGATGGTTAAAGGAAAAGCACCATATGATTCAATGCAATCAGCTGGGTTTCCTTTGACAGAAAACTTTATATCAATTTGATTTTTGGGTTGGAATGTCTCTTTAAAGTGTTTTGAAATGTGTTGTAAATTGGAATTATATGCATACACTGCAAAAAATCTAAATCTAGATACCGGTAAGTCATTTTTTTCTTAAAATAAGTACATTTGTTCTTAAATTGAGGAGTTAAAAGAGACATTTAGCCAATGGAACAAAACAATTTAAACTTAAAATAATAAAACACAATTGCATTGTCTTATTTCAAGTGCATATTATCTAATTATCTTATTTTAAGAGTAAAATTACTCATTCCATTGGCAAACTATCTCATTTACCTACTCAAATTAAGCGTAATACACTTCATTTAAGAAATGTTCACTTATTTCTAGATCGTTTTTGCGGTGTAAACTGAATTTAATTAATAATATGTATTATTTAAAAGAAAACCCTGCAAATGTGACATTCTGAATGTATCCAGTGAGGGTTAATCTACACATTTTTTCACCATATCACAATATCGTGATTAAAGGTTTTATTATCTGCTGCTACTGAAGACAGTATTAGGTTTACAGGCAGACAGGGAAACTTTGAGCCCTTTTAGTTTTGCTGAATCACTTCTCACATATCAGCCATTTTCTTAATATTCAAAATTTCCACAAGATTTCATCACCAGTAGCATGCCTAGGCATTCAAAATTATTAACCGGGAATGATTATTAAGGTCTTATTCATATTGCTGCACACAGCTATCTCTGATCTGTTTAAAAAATCAAACAGTTTCCCTCCCTCTGTATGATTTTTTGGGCGTGGGTTAATAAAGAGCGATCAGTGGCAGGGAGTGTGCCGGGATATGGAACAAATAGAGCCGTTAGCAACGAGAATGGCAGCTAGAATGAATGAGTTCTTGTTTCAGGAGATTTTTTTTTTTTTTTTTTCACCAGTCAGCTCCGCTATTTGCTTTTCAGTATATTAATCATAAAGGTGACCAGTATCAGCCTTTTCACGTTCAAGAGCTCTTTGTTTCACAGTGTAAACATTGCTTTAGTGCTGGGCAGTTTTTTTCCTCTTCTCTTTCAGACAGATAGGGGATAAGGGTTTTCTAACATTCCTTCAATAGGGGAGGAAAAAAAAGATTATAAAACCCAAAGCAGAGCTTTGAATCTCAAAGGATCGGTTAGAGTTATATGAGAAGAAGCGCATGAGATGATGGAGCATTCCAGAGCGACTGGTGAAGCACAGACACCGTGGCACAGCTTAAACCATGCTGGTTTATATAAGTTCCTGTTTATACAGGCGTGTTTGTATTGAAAGGCTTTGGCTGCAGTTAAGCTGGTAAGTTTTTGTTTGCTCTCAATCCTCCTGGTCAAATGGAAGAATAGAATATAAACTGCTCTGGCAAAAACATTCAATCACAGTGAATCAGGTCAAGAATTCCTTCAGCCAAAAACGTTTAGAAGCAGAACATAAAATGTCCTCCTAAAGTCAATTAGTGTTGTTTCTCTGTGTGTTAGTGTGGTTTTATGGCCTGTTAACCAGCCCAGGATGCCTGTGTGGTGTCTGACATCTGACCAGAGTGTTTAAACTTGGGTCTTCATTGTGAAGGTCAGATCCAGCCCCTCCGAGGTGAGCATCAACACAAAGCAGCCTGTTATCGGAGCGCCGGCAGCTGCGGCGCACACAGATAAACACTGCTCCATTGAACAGGCCTCACCTGCTGATATTATCTCCACCCAGACCAGACCAATAAACCGCAGCCTTTCACAGACTCTTCTGTCTGCTCTCCCTTTATGGAACGCCACTTACAGCCCAAATAAAAGCAGCACTTCTTTGCACTTTGGAGGACTCTTTGACTTCAGTCTCTGCAGTTTCAGTGAATCCTGTTAAGGATCTGAATTAAAAACCTGCAAATAACAAAAGACAAAATGTCTTTAAGTCGTTTTTTTAATAGATGAAAGAGAGACAGGCGTAGTGCAGTAGGTTCCCTCCCCCACCTGTTGCTGCACACTGCTTACATGCAGCTGACACAAAGCTGCACTTTTCCCATTTGCTTCATCATATTACTATAATAAGAGTCTACTCCTAATGGAGGCCAAAATGTAAAGCTATGAGTCCATTCCGGTTTTAAAAACTATAATAAAATTGTTCAAACAAATTAATGATGAAAACTAGGCGGAAGAGAAAGTTCTACAGATCTTTTTTTTCCTTTGTAACATCTTTTGAAACCAGTCACAGTAGGTAATGTATACATGTTAGAACACAGTTAAGTACCTCCAGGGACAATATTTACCTCTTACTGTACATTAACTTGACCTGTAAATCTCACAGTAGGTTCACCACATATATATAGTTAGCTAATGTACAAAAAAAGGAACAGTATAGGTCTTTTTTCTGAGCTCTTCTTTTAAAAATAGGCTTGTTTGTTTTTCAGTTAAAGTGCTCACAGTGGGTGGTGTAGTGTTTTCCTAAAGAAAGATATTTAAGCAGATATCACTCAACTAAAGGTAAAAAGTATGATGCAGAGGCTAGTGATGAACCGATCTGATATTAATATCGAATATCGGTAGGATATTAGTCATAAATCTTATATCGGATTTTATCGTCTGCCATCTAAAATCTCCAATACTTTCATGCTTATGAACTTTGGTTAAAAGCTTCTGTCGCTCTGGTTAATTCTTCATGGGTCAGCCGTTTTTATACCTTTAGCTGTCGACCTTTCTTCCTTGTTTTAGTAATATTACTTGATCAAGCCTTCTCAAACATTCTACAAAATAAAATAGGTGCTAGAAGCTGGTAAGATTCACACTAACGTCTTATCGGGTCAATATCGGTATCGGCCAGTTCTCAAAGCTGCAATATCGTATCGTATTGTAAATGAAAAAGTTGTATCAGGACACTCCTAGCAAAGGTAGTACTCCTAAAAGTATATTTGTGCCAAAAATCTGACTTTGTTAAATCTGACTTCGTAAATGTAACTAGTTACTTTCCCACTTTTGTCAAAACAATCTGACAGTAAAGGTATAGAAATTCAGCAAAGATGAATTTAGACTCTCAAATCTAATGTACTACTTCTCCTTTCAGCAAACATATAGAAGAACGGCCTCTTTTAATAGAAACAACACGCTGATATCAACTGGTTGTCTGCTCAGGTGCAGTATTAGTCCTGTTAATGTATGAAGAGTAGAAGGACTTAGACGGTTTATTATTTATTTATGTTTGCTTAGGTGTGGGTATTACACTCAACGTAACAAATGTAGATTTTAATTATTATAGCTGTAATGAATATATAATTTTTAACAGCAACAATTCTGTTTTTCTTTGCACATTTAAAATATCATGCAAGTCTCTGAGAAACAGTCTCCTATTTTTAAAGTAATTAAACAGAAATCAAATTTTGTAATTCAATTTTAAATAAGAAAAACAAATATCTCTCTCCAGCTCTGTTTGAACTTTTAAAATGCAAAATAAAATAAATGTTTGTGAGGTTTTTTTGCCCATTATTCCTCTCTTCTATAGCACTACTGAATATGATAATGGCTGTAAGCTGGTATTTTGACAGTTTTCTTATAGTTGACTAAGAGAGAAGTCAGGACAGAGTGTTCTGCAGTCAGCAGCTATCATGATCCCACACGCCTGCATCTGAGTAGCTTCCATGACTGTGGGTTGAAACACTAAAGCCACTGGTATGAAATGCAGCTAAGCTGGAAGATTTCCTGTGTTTCGGGGATCTGACTTTATGAACTTGAATGTAAGCACGGTTCAGGTTCTGTTAGAACAGCCTTCGCCAACCAAGCCCAGTTGAAATCCAGGAAGTAATTTTTTTTTATTATTTATCAGGATTTTTAACAGAGTTGTGAAATTTCTGCAAAAGTATGAAATGGTTTCCAGGTCTGAGTGCATTAGGGGAAAAATCAAGTACTCAAAACTGTTCAAATTTGGGGACTTTGTTCCAAATTTTGTTATGTGGAAGATAAAAAAAAAACAAATCTCTATGAATCATTGAATTAACAGTGTTTATGTGTGTTTTGGGGGTGCACGGTTGTGCAGTCTGTAAGGGTTGCCTTACATCCAGAGGGTCTGGGCCAAGGGTCTCTCTACATGGAGTATGCCTGTTCTCCCCGCAGTTCTCTCTGGGTACTCCCACTTCCTCCCACAATAAAAAACATGATTATTAAATTGTTATGTGACTCTAAATAACCCTTAGGTGTGAGTCTGTTTGCATGGTTGCATGTCTTTGTGTTGCCCTCAGATGCACTTGTCCAGATGCCCCACCTTTGGCCCAGAGATTGCTGAAAAAGCGGTCCCGAGCAGTTTTACACGCTGTAGGAAAAAAAGTTCACGTTGGAAAAGTCTTTATAAATATATAAATCTCCTTTACTCTCCTGAATTATAAGGTAACTTAATTGANTTTTTTTATTAACTACACAAATGCAAAATACAGGGTATATTTGAAATATTGTTTAGTGTGAGGCGTCTGCAAAAAAGACACCAATTTATTTTAAGCCTTTTTTTTTAACATATCTCTACCAATCGTTTACATGGAGTCGTAAAGCCAAATTTACGGAAGAGGATTAGGGCCAGTGGGAAAAAAAAAAAAAAAGTTAACTGATTTTTACATTTTATTTCAGTTTAGTATGGGAAAAAAGTCAGAATTCTGAGAAAAAAGTCAGAATTCTGACTTTTTTCTCAGAATTCAGACTTTTTTCTCATAATTATGACTTTAATCTCAGAATTCTGACTTTTTTTATTGTCAGAATTCAGTCAAAATTCTGAGATTAAAATCAGAACTCTGAGATTAAAGTCAGAATAAAATTTAAAAATCTGTTAACTTTTTTTTTTTTTCAGTGGCCCTAATCCTCTTCCGTACAAATTAATAAAGAAGGGATTTAGATAAAAGAAAATGACACATGTAGTGTGAGAGCATCCTGACTGACCACTGGGTTTCTTCTCCAGCAGCTGCCTCTTGCAGTAGATGACGCACAGAACCAGCAGCGCCAGCAGGACCGTAGCCAGAGCGCTGCAGATGACTGCAGCCAGGGCCACATCCCGGGGACTGGTCACCACGGGGGGCAGAGGCACCAGGTTCACACGCCCGCTACCTGCAAGGAGATCACACAGGTGGGATAAGACTGGCGAAAAGGAGCTTCCCACATAAAATGCAACAACTGTCCATACGACTTAGGAGATAAAAACAACAGAGGGCCACAAAATGAATGTCATCTAATGAAGCCGATGTGGAAACATGAGATTAACTGTTGCTTCGTGCCTCAGGTCAGCCACCCATTTGCTAAAGCTTAATGAAAGAAGCAGAGGAGTTCAAAGAGAAAACGCCTGTGGTGGATTCCCTCTTTTAACTGCTTCTGTCTTGTTCTCTACAGAAGATGATTTATACACACTGCTAGACCCCCCCACCCGCCAAACACACATCCAAAGGCATATGAAATAAGGCAGCTTTTGAAAAACCCTCACATTTCTTTATTAAATCTCTCATCCTACCTGAGGGGAAACTATGTCTGCATTTGCTTCTGCCATCGGGGACCCTTAACACACATTCATATTAAGCCTTGAAGAATGCAGCTCATTTTACATGTTCGCACAGCTACGAAGCGTTGGGGCTTAATGCGGCTTAAGGCTAAACATCACAATGTAGAACCAATAAGGCTGGATTTTTCTTCTTTTTAGTTTTTTTCCCTTAATTGTTTCTGCAACACATAATCATCATTTAATCAAATGGAAATGTCCAGAGTTACAGCAGACGCCTCGTTAAGTGTATTCTTCTAAATGTTTTCGGAGACGGTTGTTAGTTTAAACAAAGATCACAGAACGCCACTTCACAAGGACTCATTCAGAGTCAGGTTTCACCAGTGACTCCTCTTTCAGTTTGCAGATGAAAGTGCAGAGATTTAAGCAAAAGCTAAAGAGGGTGAGCTAAGAGTCACAAAACATTGTGCAGCTGTGTTTTGACGATTCAGGTGATAATTAATGTTAGGAAGATCATTATGTGAAACTCTTTTCATGTTTCACACATTAAAGAAAGATGAATGTGTTTAAATAGCTTTTGGGTTTTTTCAAATATAGATTCATCTAACAAATATTCTGCTATTGGACCAATACTGATGTCAGATAAAATGTAATGGTAAAAATATAAAGAGAACTCACTAAAGATTTTCTAGGTTGCTATGAGGAAAAAATCCCAATAATCTAAAAGCTGAACTTTAAATCTACAATACACATTTTTACTGGTTTAAATGCCAAAGTAAATCTTTGGACCTTTTAATCACTTTAAATTAGTGACTGGTGGAACATCCTTTTATTTATTATTTCTAAGAATATCTTCGAAAATATTTAGAAAAACAATAAAAAAAAAAAAAAGAAGAAAGAAATCTACTAAGCAACATTTAGCATGTTGTGTGGATAAAGCCATGTTGTCAGACTAACCTGAGGAAACTGACCAGGAAAAGAAAAATACCTTTTTTGGTCTGTAAACGTTTTTAACAAAGAATTAATTGGAAAATTACCCTGCAAACAAGTTCCTGCAGATTATTTCTTGAAATATTTATTTCATCCTGGGTTCAGTGAATTACAGTTTCTTACTCTGATGAAATACATCCCAAGCATTTTTATTTCCTTTCTACAAATTATTCCACAGTCAGCCAAAACAAAAGGAAAATTAAAATGATAGCAAATAAGCAACAGTATGGGAGAGCCAGTAATATCACAGGCTGATCTCATTGGATGCCATTGAATATATTTTTACACTTAATAAACCACATGGCAGCCGTGGATGTAAACATGTTATCTAGTGTAAACATGTCATCCTCCAACTACTTCAGGTCGTCTTCTTCGTCTTTTTAATGCAGGTCCAGTTGCAGATCACGTGGCTCGATTCACGTGACAAAATGTGATTAAGGTTTTGAAAACACAGGAATTTTGATACAACCGAAAAAAACAACTCCTCATCGAAGTGTTTGTAGTGTTTCTATTTAACAAATTTGTGAAATGCGATGGTTAAAGGAAAAGCACCATATGATTCAATGCAATCAGCTGGGTTTCCTTTGACAGAAAACTTTATATCAATTTGATTTTTGGGTTGGAATGTCTCTTTAAAGTGTTTTGAAATGTGTTGTAAATTGGAATTATATGCATACACTGCAAAAAATCTAAATCTAGATACCGGTAAGTCATTTTTTTCTTAAAATAAGTACATTTGTTCTTAAATTGAGGAGTTAAAAGAGACATTTAGCCAATGGAACAAAACAATTTAAACTTAAAATAATAAAACACAATTGCATTGTCTTATTTCAAGTGCATATTATCTAATTATCTTATTTTAAGAGTAAAATTACTCATTCCATTGGCAAACTATCTCATTTACCTACTCAAATTAAGCGTAATACACTTCATTTAAGAAATGTTCACTTATTTCTAGATCGTTTTTGCGGTGTAAACTGAATTTAATTAATAATATGTATTATTTAAAAGAAAACCCTGCAAATGTGACATTCTGAATGTATCCAGTGAGGGTTAATCTACACATTTTTTCACCATATCACAATATCGTGATTAAAGGTTTTATTATCTGCTGCTACTGAAGACAGTATTAGGTTTACAGGCAGACAGGGAAACTTTGAGCCCTTTTAGTTTTGCTGAATCACTTCTCACATATCAGCCATTTTCTTAATATTCAAAATTTCCACAAGATTTCATCACCAGTAGCATGCCTAGGCATTCAAAATTATTAACCGGGAATGATTATTAAGGTCTTATTCATATTGCTGCACACAGCTATCTCTGATCTGTTTAAAAAATCAAACAGTTTCCCTCCCTCTGTATGATTTTTTGGGCGTGGGTTAATAAAGAGCGATCAGTGGCAGGGAGTGTGCCGGGATATGGAACAAATAGAGCCGTTAGCAACGAGAATGGCAGCTAGAATGAATGAGTTCTTGTTTCAGGAGATTTTTTTTTTTTTTTTTTCACCAGTCAGCTCCGCTATTTGCTTTTCAGTATATTAATCATAAAGGTGACCAGTATCAGCCTTTTCACGTTCAAGAGCTCTTTGTTTCACAGTGTAAACATTGCTTTAGTGCTGGGCAGTTTTTTTCCTCTTCTCTTTCAGACAGATAGGGGATAAGGGTTTTCTAACATTCCTTCAATAGGGGAGGAAAAAAAAGATGATAAAACCCAAAGCAGAGCTTTGAATCTCAAAGGATCGGTTAGAGTTATATGAGAAGAAGCGCATGAGATGATGGAGCATTCCAGAGCGACTGGTGAAGCACAGACACCGTGGCACAGCTTAAACCATGCTGGTTTATATAAGTTCCTGTTTATACAGGCGTGTTTGTATTGAAAGGCTTTGGCTGCAGTTAAGCTGGTAAGTTTTTGTTTGCTCTCAATCCTCCTGGTCAAATGGAAGAATAGAATATAAACTGCTCTGGCAAAAACATTCAATCACAGTGAATCAGGTCAAGAATTCCTTCAGCCAAAAACGTTTAGAAGCAGAACATAAAATGTCCTCCTAAAGTCAATTAGTGTTGTTTCTCTGTGTGTTAGTGTGGTTTTATGGCCTGTTAACCAGCCCAGGATGCCTGTGTGGTGTCTGACATCTGACCAGAGTGTTTAAACTTGGGTCTTCATTGTGAAGGTCAGATCCAGCCCCTCCGAGGTGAGCATCAACACAAAGCAGCCTGTTATCGGAGCGCCGGCAGCTGCGGCGCACACAGATAAACACTGCTCCATTGAACAGGCCTCACCTGCTGATATTATCTCCACCCAGACCAGACCAATAAACCGCAGCCTTTCACAGACTCTTCTGTCTGCTCTCCCTTTATGGAACGCCACTTACAGCCCAAATAAAAGCAGCACTTCTTTGCACTTTGGAGGACTCTTTGACTTCAGTCTCTGCAGTTTCAGTGAATCCTGTTAAGGATCTGAATTAAAAACCTGCAAATAACAAAAGACAAAATGTCTTTAAGTCGTTTTTTTAATAGATGAAAGAGAGACAGGAGTAGTGCAGTAGGTTCCCTCCCCCACCTGTTGCTGCACACTGCTTACATGCAGCTGACACAAAGCTGCACTTTTCCCATTTGCTTCATCATATTACTATAATAAGAGTCTACTCCTAATGGAGGCCAAAATGTAAAGCTATGAGTCCATTCCGGTTTTAAAAACTATAATAAAATTGTTCAAACAAATTAATGATGAAAACTAGGCGGAAGAGAAAGTTCTACAGATCTTTTTTTTCCTTTGTAACATCTTTTGAAACCAGTCACAGTAGGTAATGTATACATGTTAGAACACAGTTAAGTACCTCCAGGGACAATATTTACCTCTTACTGTACATTAACTTGACCTGTAAATCTCACAGTAGGTTCACCACATATATATAGTTAGCTAATGTACAAAAAAAGGAACAGTATAGGTCTTTTTTCTGAGCTCTTCTTTTAAAAATAGGCTTGTTTGTTTTTCAGTTAAAGTGCTCACAGTGGGTGGTGTAGTGTTTTCCTAAAGAAAGATATTTAAGCAGATATCACTCAACTAAAGGTAAAAAGTATGATGCAGAGGCTAGTGATGAACCGATCTGATATTAATATCGAATATCGGTAGGATATTAGTCATAAATCTTATATCGGATTTTATCGTCTGCCATCTAAAATCTCCAATACTTTCATGCTTATGAACTTTGGTTAAAAGCTTCTGTCGCTCTGGTTAATTCTTCATGGGTCAGCCGTTTTTATACCTTTAGCTGTCGACCTTTCTTCCTTGTTTTAGTAATATTACTTGATCAAGCCTTCTCAAACATTCTACAAAATAAAATAGGTGCTAGAAGCTGGTAAGATTCACACTAACGTCTTATCGGGTCAATATCGGTATCGGCCAGTTCTCAAAGCTGCAATATCGTATCGTATTGTAAATGAAAAAGTTGTATCAGGACACTCCTAGCAAAGGTAGTACTCCTAAAAGTATATTTGTGCCAAAAATCTGACTTTGTTAAATCTGACTTCGTAAATGTAACTAGTTACTTTCCCACTTTTGTCAAAACAATCTGACAGTAAAGGTATAGAAATTCAGCAAAGATGAATTTAGACTCTCAAATCTAATGTACTACTTCTCCTTTCAGCAAACATATAGAAGAACGGCCTCTTTTAATAGAAACAACACGCTGATATCAACTGGTTGTCTGCTCAGGTGCAGTATTAGTCCTGTTAATGTATGAAGAGTAGAAGGACTTAGACGGTTTATTATTTATTAAGTGACAAATGTAGATTTTAATTATTATAGCTGTAATGAATATATAATTTTTAACAGCAACAATTCTGTTTTTCTTTGTACATTTAAAATATCATGCAAGTCTCTGAGAAACAGTCTCCTATTTTTAAAGTAATTATACAGAAATCAAATTTTGTAATTAAATTTTAAATAAGAAAAACAAATATCTCTCTCCAGCTCTGTTTGAACTTTTAAAATGCAAAATAAAATAAATGTTTGTGAGGTTTTTTTGCCCATTATTCCTCTCTTCTATAGCACTACTGAATATGATAATGGCTGTAAGCTGGTATTTTGACAGTTTTCTTATAGTTGACTAAGAGAGAAGTCAGGACAGAGTGTTCTGCAGTCAGCAGCTATCATGATCCCACACGCCTGCATCTGAGTAGCTTCCATGACTGTGGGTTGAAACACTAAAGCCACTGGTATGAAATGCAGCTAAGCTGGAAGATTTCCTGTGTTTCGGGATCTGACTTTATGAACTTGAATGTAAGCACGGTTCAGGTTCTGTTAGAACAGCCTTCGCCAACCAAGCCCAGTTGAAATCCAGGAAGTAATTTTTTTTTATTATTTATCAGGATTTTTAACAGAGTTGTGAAATTTCTGCAAAAGTATGAAATGGTTTCCAGGTCTGAGTGCATTAGGGGAAAAATCAAGTACTCAAAACTGTTCAAATTTGGGGACTTTGTTACAAATTTTGTTATGTGGAAGATAAAAAAAACAAATCTCTATGAATCATTGAATTAACAGTCTTTATGTGTGTTTTGGGGGTGCACGGTTGTGCAGTCTGTAAGGGTTGCCTTACATCCAGAGGGTCTGGGCCAAGGGTCTTTCTACATGGAGTATGCCTGTTCTCCCCGCAGTTCTCTCTGGGTACTCCCACTTCCTCCCACAATAAAAAACATGATTATTAAATTGTTATGTGACTCTAAATAACCCTTAGGTGTGAGTCTGTTTGCATGGTTGCATGTCTTTGTGTTGCCCTCAGATGCACTTGTCCAGATGCCCCACCTTTGGCCCAGAGATTGCTGAAAAAGCGGTCCCGAGCAGTTTTACACGCTGTAGGAAAAAAAGTTCACGTTGGAAAAGTCTTTATAAATATATAAATCTCCTTTACTCTCCTGAATTATAAGGTAACTTAATTGATCTCATATTGGAGAAATTTACCTCTGCATTTAACCCATCCCCTTGGGGAGCAGTGGGCATTCACTGTGTGTGCACTCCCACAGACTGCCACAGTGGCAGTGGGGCTCAAACTCAGAACCTCAGGATTCCAAGCTCTATGTCCGAACCACCAGGCCGCCACTTCAGCAGTTTTGGATAAATATATATACCAATGAAGGTTTTCAGGCCAACAGAGATTTCTACAATTTCTAATGGGAAAGAAAAATCAGACTAGTTTCAACACATTTAGAATAGGGGACTAATGTTTGTTCTTTTGATTTGCAGTTTTTCTATATAGGATTGCATTAATCATGTTTCATTTAAAATACATTTTTCTCTTTTCAACAAGCTGAAAAACATTTAAAATTCCCAACTGGCCAATTGAAGCTGCTGTAATAAAGCCAGTACAGGAAGCTGCTAAACATAAGTATGGGTCTCCACCAGAACAGGGAAGTACTCCAGCAGATGAAACACATTAAAGAGGAATCCATAAAACACAACCTCATTTTAACTGTTCTCCAGAAAACCACCAGGGAAAAAAAGTTAGAGAAAGAAAGAAGAGGAGGAGGAGGAGGGGGTTAAGATTTACAGTCATTGCCTCCCCCCTCACAGCTCCACAGCTGCCCGGGGCCAGTTTGGCTTAAAAGAATGATCTGCCCTTTAAGTTTTCACCATCCCCTTCGAGATAACAGGCGTGGATGGTTGGGAGGGGGGGCTGGCACAACTTTCAACATTTGGTAATACTCCACAGAGAATCCCTGTAGGAGCTAACCGGCTATGTTCCCAGACACAATGGTCATTTTGTTTCAAAGGCCTCCTCCAGTATCAAAACGGGAAGCGGCACAGATGGACAAATGAGCAGACAGAGGAAGGCCTGTTGTCTCAAGGTCAGCGTCCACATCCAGGTTTTCTTTTTCTAACCCACATCAATAAAGAGGCGAGATCAAAGAACAAACCGCCGATCCAATGACACCTTCTTTCTTTTGTGCAAAGACTCAACATGTTTCGATGAGATATCCTCTGACTCCAACCCTCATATCGTCAAAACGCTCCTTAGAAACAGCTGCTGCCAGCAGGAAGTCACGCTACATTACCAAAGGTAAAAGTTCATACGCTTGTTGGTTTCATTTGGAAACCTGAAATCAGACATTTGCACTTGGCCGGGAGGAAGCAGCTAATTGGATGTGCAGCCTATTGGAATGTGTATGGATATTGTAACATCCTTTTCAGATTCTTGTGTTTACATAAAGGCTATTATTTAAACCAGTAAATTCGCTGAATGTTTGTACTTTGTCTCAGATCAAAAACAGAAGACATCTGGTGGATGGCCATCTCTTGGTAGGTTTGCAGTTGTGTCCTGCTCTTTGCATGTCCACACGATCTATTAAACCGCCATTGTACTGTGCAAAGAATGGGATATTGCTTTATGACCTAACCCAGATATAAACTTCATAAATTTTCTCAGTCTTTCAGGTGTTCTCAAAGCCTTGTCTTTGGGGTTCTCGCTGTTTGATATAGACATGCCTTTGCAGAAACTTTCTCTCTCTTTTCTCCTTCAAAAACAGTAGTGTGATTGATCAGGATTTGGATGGGCATTAAGTAGGAAAGAGCAAGAGGATTTTTTCAGACATTATTTCAGGTATGGAAATCCACGCACTGATCTATTACGTAATGAATAGTTTGAGGATCGGCTAATCGCGGTGTCAAGAAATTCCCTCCTCTCCCATTGTGTTGCTGTTGTGTTTTCTCTTGCAGGTGTGACGTAAGCTACAAAGGATCGGACTTTCTATGAGTTTGCCAGCTGGGCTTCTCATGAAATATGAATGCTCAGAGGCAAAACCAACTTTTTTTCTAGTTCTTGCCATCGTTGAGAACAAGAACAAGTTCCTTAGTTCTTGCAGAGTATGCAAAAAGCTTTCGGTCTTTAAAGAACAGTTGGATTCATATTTACTAATCAAGTAACTTCTGAGAGTAGTTGGTTGCAATGGATTTCAGAGAGTATAATTTCAATACAAAGCATACTTTTTGGAAAAACATTTGAAGACCATGCCTGTGCACATTCTCATAGGTCATCCTGGTCATGGCAACTACAGATAGGCTTAAAAATGTCTGTTTACCTCTGATTCAAATCCGTTTCTGGTTTGACAAAAAGCTTGGATGTTTCTGGCTTTAATGGGAGGAAATGTAAGAAAAGCTTACAAAGAGTTTTTTTTAACATTGAACCCAAACTAAGCACTCAGAATGAATGACACGTTTTAAGCCAATACAATCATTACTGTTAAATAATGCATTCAACTCCCCAGCTTATTAATCCAAGTACTTTTTTTTATCTGCATAGCACAGCTGGCTGCCTCTGTTGGACTTAGTGAGTCAAACAGGGCTTGCTCCACCCTCCCAAAGTTGTGGTTCTGGTTACTCTTGCAGACCTTGTGCTGGCATGTTGAGTCTGTGTCTGTGTGTTGGCTTTGTTGTGGCGATGGATTTTGGTTCTACTAGTATTTGGCAAAGAGTTCAATAGTGGGCCTGTGATGGTGATGTTTGCTTTCAGATGTTTGTATCCCCGTTGTTTCATGTTCAAACATCTCCTTCTCCAGGTCTCCAAGGCTGTTTTATTGGAACATTTTAGGCCAACTGTTAGAAGAGGTCAAAAAAAAAATGCAAAAGTGCTTACAATTGGGTTCATAAGGAGGAGGAGGGTCCCCGCACGGTATGCACTCCATGTCCTGGAATCCACTTAATTTTGTTTTCCTATAAAATCTGTTGCAGATACAAGGTTGCATGTTTAGTAAACAAAAATCTTTGTATGTGTATGTAAAATATGAGTGGTTGTTACAGTGCTCTCTCACCCCGGTAGACAGTCGCCACACACAGCGTTGCTGGTGGTGGAGCAGTTGCCCTTCTGGTAGCGGTTGATGAGGCCACAGTCCAGACAGGGTTTGCACTTCTGCAGGCTCCGGTCCTCTTTGAAGCGGCTGCTCCGGCAAGGCACGCACCGGGCATCCTCTCCATAACCAAAGCCACATTCCTGGGGGGATTAACAGGGAAAAATACACTGAGTAAGAAGCTGGTGGGGGGGAGAGTTGGTTGATTTGGGCTGATGTGCAGATGGTGAAAGGGAGTTTGAATGTGAACTCCTGGGGGTCCTGAAATTAAAGAATGATCTTAGCCCGCTGGGTTAGACACCAACAATGGCCGGCCTCTTTTGAGAGTCCATCTTACACAGGCAATAATCTCCCTGACTCTCCCACTATGAATGAGTCGCCTTCCGCTGCAAGACCCAGAGAGGCCAATCATTTGAATAATAAAGCCTTCAGGGGACACCCACTGTTGTATTATCGCAGGTTTATTGCTGTGTTTTTAAACTACTCCCACTTCGCACTGACTCAGTGAGGGTCCCAATGATTGAGAGGCCAGCAAGCAAAGGAAGTGCTTCAGGAAGAGGGCAGGGATTATAAAGAAGTAGATAGAGAAAAGCACATGAATGCTTGTTTTGTCTGCAACTAGAGGAAGGGCAGGAATAAAGGCCAGTTTCCCTTTCATGTGTGAACGATCTAATGCTAACCTTACTGTATTAGTTCACCTGAGCATAAAATACAGCAACTACCATATTTTTTGGTATCCCACGAAAAAAATGTCTAAAAAAAACTAAGAAAAAGTACTTTTTTTTTCCAGTGATAAACATTTCTTAGGAACCACTACAAGATAATATTTCAAACTAGGATCATAATCTGCATGAACGCAATACATGGATGAAATTTTGTATTGGGAGGTGATGGCCTAGTGGTTAGAGCAGTGCGCTTGTGCTCTGGGAAGTTTTTGAAGTACCTGGCTTGATCCCCACAGCCTGCGCTGTGGGTCCCTGAGCAAGACCTTAAACCCCACACTGCTCCCTGGGCAGCCCATTGCTCTCCAAGGGAATGGGTTTAATGCAGAGGTAGATTTCTCTAGTGTGAGATCACTAAAGTTCAGTTATTGTTGTTATTATTATTGTAGTGCACTTTCTCACTTAAAAAAAGACTTAAAACTACTTCTTCTCATTCTTCACAGTGAATAAACCAAAGCCGCTCTCTCGATTGCATCCGACTGTAAACCGTATTCTGATGTGGCTAGAGAGAATACGCTAAAAAACAAAGACTGTTCTGTCCCGGATCTTTTAATCGTCATATATTGTTCTCTCAAGTTTTTAAAATCACCCAATAATCTTTAAATCTTGCCATGTGTAACATTTTCAACTTATTGGGGAGTGGCAGCCTTGCGTGGGGAGTGGTGGCCTAGTGGTTAGGGCATAGAGCTTGGAATCCTGAGGTTGTGAGTTTGAAACCAACTCCTACAGACTGCCACTTGGGCTCTCTAAGCAAGACCCTTAACCCCCAAATATTCCCGGGGCGCCCCATGATGGTACCCCACTGCTCCCCAAGGAGATGGGTTAAATGCAGAGGTAAATTTCTCCAATGTTTGATCAATACAGTTCAATTATTATTAATTATTCTTTAAAAGGTTGACTTTCTGCGTGTTCCTTTGGCCCATGTTGTCGTTTGTTAAAGGTCTACCTCACCTCATGCTTATTGAGACCACTGCAGTAAAGCCCAGCCAATCCATTCCTAGTGTCTTTAAGATTTGATTGTTCATACAAAACTCTCATTATTTCTGATTTTAAATACATTATGATCCCTACTTAGGATTGGTAGGATGAAGGCTGATGTCTGTTGATCTTTCTAAGGAAATTGGTAAGAGGAAATATCATTAAAAAAAAAGCTTCAAAGTTTAAACTGGAGCTGTGACAAGCAAGGCAGAATGAGTAGCCCATGTTTTTCATGCATCTACTAAAGCCTAATATATAACTGCCTACTAGGGTCTAATAAAAGTATTTTTGGCTCAGCATCTGTATAGTATTTTTTTTTAAAGAAATTGCTGTGCTCACCATCAAAGATGACACGAATCTCTGAGAAAAAAAAAAAAAACTAGTTAAAAAAAAAGGCAGCCAAAAACACATCACTTAATTGCAACTGATTATTTTTTTGGGTAGTAGGCTATTGATCCATTATTGTGTTGATCTTGATGGAAGAAATAAACGACTCCACTTAACCCTGCAAGACATTTGAAAACTATTTTGTTTTGTGTTCATGCTAACTTTATTGTCTTCTACTTAATCTTATGTCATCTCATCTATTCCAGCTTTAGGACACTGGCCTAGAACGCCTTCACACTGCAAGCACACAGCTCCCCGGTCCGGATAAACCATGCCGCGTCAGGGTACAGCTCTCTGGTCCAATATTAGGTCTGAGACAGGTTCACACCAGCCTGACCCACTCCAGAAACCAGGCTCTAGCACAATAAAAAGCGTTTCAATGACCACTTTCATTTTCAAGATCTAAATCCTAAAGAAGACGTGCATCATGTGAGTCATGTGAGCTGCAGCCAAGAGTGAGAGGGTACCCAGGAGTCTAGAAGTGAAAGATTGTCTGTCTGATGGTCTGGTGGCACCAACCCCAGATGTGGACCCAAAAGTGGTTGGAAAACTAAAATGTAGCATTTTGTAGAAAATCTAATCTACTCTGCACCTCTCTACCCAAACATTCATATCTCTAAAATTCATGTTTACAGCCCGGTGACCTAGATAGCGGTTAGACATTTACATGACAGCTGATATCACTGTACATTGCACAGAGTGAAAAGATACTGCAGAAATAACATCATGCATTGTTCATTTATTATCAGCTCTGTGGCAGCTGTACTCTTGTAATCCAGGATCCCCATATTGCTAACTAAATCCTGGAGGACAGGCATAGATCATGTAAGTAAATGTCAGCTTCAAAAAGGACTCGTCTCCTTTGGTCTCTCTTCGCCCGTGTCCCGTTTCACTGGCCTGGCATGCACTCCGGCTGGAATGTGGGCAGAAGACTCTGATACGGTGGAGTTGGGTTTGGGGGAAATAAAAATGGAGGTGGGAGGCAAAGATGTGATCTTGCCACGACACTGCGAGGGAGGATTAGGGATTCGGTCCTTCCAGCCAAACACATGCGAGCCTGACATTGAAACCTTGAGCCACACTTGGCCAGGTGGCCCAGCTTGGATGGGGCTATTGCAGCTGTTCCTCTCAACTCTCCATATAAGGCATTACAATGCAGCAGGGCAGAGCAGGGCAACGAGGAAGGGAGAGAGTAGGGATGGCTTATGAAGTAGAGAAAAGGATAATAAACAATTACTATGAACCTGATTTTCAATAATACTGTCTATCAACTGAAAATGACTTGTAAGAAAGCAGAAGAGAGACTGCGGGACAGGGTCTGGTGACCCATTTCCACATGAAGGAACGGGGCCTCATGCAGGAGAATTAATCTCCACCAGGCCTGGCATTGGCACCAGTACTGTTCATGGGGCACCACATGGAAGGATGGGTCCATGCCACATAGATGCAAGCAGGTCAGAGCACAGGAACAAAGCTACGTCCTGAACCTAATATAGTGACAGACTAGATTGTTAACAAAAGAAACCATTATTTCTTTTAAGGTCGCTATTGTTTTGCTAAATATTATCCCTTTTAGCTGTATTGACCTAATATAAATGAACTCAAAGTATAACAAGATGATATTTGCTGTTTAGTTAATCAGGCCACCTACTCAGCTAGATAGCCTATAATTGGTTGCTTTACAGACATGGTGCAAGTAGCATGCCATCTATAGCTGTGGAATAGTATTAATAAGAGTAATGAGTGGAGTTCCTTTGGTCTCTATGTAATGTCTCTGCTTATTTCCTTTAATTAAACTTCTGAGTTTGTTTTCATAGAAGCAACATAAAGAAGCCACATTTTATGGCCAGCTAAATCTTATAATTTTTTTTTTATATGTAGGTTCTAGTATAATTGAACATTTGAACACTGTGAGTTTGAGAACATTCTCAGCAGTTACAGACATACACCCAACATCAGATAGAAGTCCAATGTAGGAAACAAACTAATTTCAATGACAGAAACATTACCATTTGGGTAATAAAATCAATTTATAGTGTAAAATGGTTAACACATATATGGCATCTGTCTCAAATAAGAGACCTCATTGAATGTGCAGATGGCTGTATCCCAAATTAAATGTCAGAATATCAAATTGAAGCTCTTCGAGTGCTTATTTTGAGAAACTAACCCATTATTTTGAGAAAGTCACAATGTTTTGGCTAAAGGAGCAGCTGTAGCAGAGAGGGTAGCACAGAGCCTCTGGAGATTAAAGATCAAGTTTCAAAAACAAAAAATCTTAATAATTAGTTTTATATCCCATAATGCAATGGGGGGAGTGGCAGCCTAGTGGTTCGGGCATAGAGTTTGGAATCCTGAGGTTCTGAGTTCAAGCCCCACTGCCACAGACTGTCACTCTGGCTCTCTGAGCAAGACCCTTAACCATTCCCCTGCTCCACAAGGGGATTGGTTAAATGCAGGTAGTTAATTTTGTTGCTTTGTACTTGTGACAGTGTGATGACAATTTAAAAAAAACTGGATTTTTTTCTATTATTTTTTTTTAAAGGAACAATAGATGAAAAATAAAAACATACAAAAAGATGTTATCGACATTTGCCCACAATCAACATACATGGATGAAAACAAACACTTGTTTTTTTTTTTTATCTACTAGTCAGAAATAGTTTTACAGGTCCTTAAAAACTATGAAAACAGAATAAAATAAGCAGATGCTTGGCATCACGTTCCCCTGCATGTCCTATCTCCTGATCTTGTTTGGCTGAGACTGCCAAGCATAACAGCCGTGTGGAGGGGAGCGGGGGGCCGAGCTGGCTGAGACCTGATGCGTGTTCAGACGCAAAGATATTTCTGAGATTAAGAGGGAATCACAAGAGGAGAAGGGAGGGGGGGAGTGGCCAGTTATATGATCCTGTGATGAAACGACATGGAAAACACTGCCAAGTCAGTTGGAGCGAGCTTCTCTCCAGCTCATAGCACTATCAGACTTTCCGTTATGCTTGGGAAGGCTCTAAAAACACCTTCAAACAACTTTAGACAGAAGAATCATAAACCCAAACAGACAGAGTGAATGGTTTCTATGATTTATAGACGTCTGTAATGCCTTTCAGTTGGTGGCACTCAGTGGTTCTTTGCTTTGGGTTTGTTGTTGAAGGAAAAATGACCCTCTAACTACATGCTTAATAACATTGATATATCAAAAACATGTGTTCCTGACTTTAATTTATTTTTTCCCCTAACTGCCATCATCTAGAATCCGTTGGAAGATTGACAAGCCTTTCTTTGACCAAAGCCGACTGAGTATTAGCCTCTGAAGGAAAGCTGGAATGAAATATGTGTCGGGGAGAGAAAGAGTAACTGCTTATAATGGGCTATGTGTGGGTGGTTCCTTGAGCAACAGTTAGCGTGGCGGTGCTAATTGATGTTTGTCAGAGCAGCTTCCAGAGGCAAACTTCCAGAGCGAACTGGGGCCACATTCCTGTGAAATCTCTATAGCAGCTGCACAGGAGGACTCCAGAAGTCTGTTTCCCTCCCCGCCGGGTCAAACCCCCATCGTTTCTCAGCGTTACTCAGATCTCTGATCACAAGTTCTTAGAGTCTTTGCCCCGCTCCCAGGCTATGTTCTTTCTTTTGAGTCGACATCCTGCTACCTTCAGAGAAAGAGTGAGGCGGCCAATTATTAACCAGAACCCCAGGGTGGTGAGCTGCACTCACGCCTGTTGAGCTGGCAGAGGAACAGGAGGACCACTGAAGCATACACAGGTCATGTTAGTGTGAAGTCAAATTAAAGGGCTTAAATGTGTTCAAAAGATGTAAAACTGAGAGGGGAGAGGTTCTCATCAGTAATTTTCCCTTTTCTAATGTATATTTGTTACAAAAATCTTCCCTAGTATTAAGCCTAACACTAATACTGCAAATTATAGAGTAATGCCCATTTTGCTTTGCTTTCTTTCAGAACATATTTATTTCTGTATAAAATCTTATGCTATGATTTTATGCGTCTGTATATGTAATGTTATGTTAAAAGAATTTGTTTTGTAAGGGCGTTCTTGATGTCTACTAGTTACAGCACACACAGTAGTGATAACCTTTGAGCTTTACCTTTTATTTCATTACTACCACACTTTTTATTGTGTTTGGACCTTATAAGATAGTCTGGCACAAATACTGTTTCATTATCTAATGGAAGGAAAGGTTTAAAAAGTCTTTACGAATAAAAATCTGAAAAGTGTGGTGTGCATTTGTTTCTCGCAGTCATTTCCTTTCGGAGAAATATCTTTTAATTACAGCTTTTCAGGGCATGTTTCATTCAGCTCAGTCAGTTTGGATAAAGAGGGTCTTTAAAATTCTATTTCAGGTTTTGTTAAATCTGATGGCTGTTTAGGGTTACTTTTCCTGCAGGAAGGTGAACCCCCACCCCAGTTTTATAACCAAAACCTACAGCTTTTGTATTCACCTGCATCTTCCCACCAGCTTTTTCAAACTCTGCTGAAGAAAAACGTGGCCACAGCATGATGCTTCCCCCACTATGCCTTAAAGGGGGGTCTTTCACAACTTTCATAAAATTAATGCATAGATTAAATCATACAAAGGTAACTATTTTTTGGTCTAAGAACACCCCTTCTGAAAACAAATGATTGCATTAAACTTTTTAAGGTGCATCAGGGTAGAGCTGACTTAATACAAGAGTATGCCACCCTTTCGAGGTATCTATTTCTAAAATAATGAAATATAGTGAGCCCTTTTTTTAAACTAAACAATTACACACTACTTTGTATTAGTCTATTCAGTAACACATATTGCTTTCTGTAAATTCAATGAGACAAATTCTTAAAAAGTTTAGGGTATCCATACTTTGGTAAATCTTGTTTATTTGGCTTCCCATCACTGAATCTGCATGTGAAGGTGGGAAGGCACCGCAACCGCTGCTGCTAGAGAGGAAAAAGTCTTTTTCTAGCCTTAACTGACACTACAGAGGCCTGTTTGTACAAAGCTCATAGAAAGCTGAGGCTCAGGGGGTGGAAACGACTGTAGAGAGAAGCAAGCTTAGGCATGGCTTGCTTCAGAGGTTGAAGACAATGGGTTGGACCGGGCACGATGGGGAAAGACAATGGAAGCCATTCAGCTAGAGGAGGTCAAAAGCATGGGTGTAACTGATTAAAGAAGGGCCGACATTGTTGGACAGGAGTTAATAGCGGTTTGGCTGCACTCTACATGAAAGGGAGGAAGCAATAAATATTGTTGCTTGATTTTCCCGACATGCAATGCTAAACGGTTTTCTCCAACACCTGCTGATCGTACAGCTGATCGCTATCAGTTCGCTGAAGGGGGAGGAAAAAACACATTCGGATACGGTTGTGCTCCAACCTTCGAAAGCTCCTGCCCAGCGTCGCACTGTTTGCAGGGTTTGCAGTTCCCAAAGCGGTCCTTGTACTCCTGCTCTCTGCACTCTCTGCTCCCCTCCATGGCTCCCACGCAAGTCTGAAGGGAAACAGACATTTGGTGAAAGTTAGGGATTCCTGTGTTTCATCACCGCTTCTATACACCACAGATAAAGCAAAACCAAAAACAAACCACAGAAACACACCACTTGGTTTCATTATAATTCAAGGGGGTCTAACTCCTTACTATTGACTCCTTAGTAACGTCTAAAACATATGGGATGTGATGAGATCAAACCTTAATGAGACCTCTGGGGAAAACTTTATAGCTGGAAACAGAACAGGAAACAGAGAAACAGGGAGGCTGGGGAGCAGATACAGTCATAAAAGTGCAGCAGATAGGGGGGATGTCAGCGTGCACCCAGATGGGAGTTCTCAGTCTCCTTTTTAACACTGGAGGACACATGGTTCAAGTTAGCATCTGCAGTTTACGCAAATTAATCAGGATTTTTAAAAGTGGTCATGGATTTTATCTGCATGGTGGAATTGTTATGACATGTCAGAGAAAACTTCAGTTATACGCTAATGGGTTGCCTCTCCCCCTCCTGTCTACGACGACTTTACATTTTTGTCGCTTTCAGGAAAAGTTTTCAGAAATGCTTCTGGCAAAAGAAAACACCAAATTCAACTGAGGGAACCATGTTTTTTAACCAGGGTGCTGATGTCAAACCTCAGTCCATGATGCCTCCTTGTTAGACCCATATATGTTTCTGTGAATTGATCAGCTGGTTAATAGAGACTATTAAATTTTATCTCTTGCTTCCAAGATAAACAATGATAAAAAGATAAAAACCACCTCAACCGTTTGTCACCAGACCAGGTACCCTGACTAATGCACTTCAGGCTAATGCATTTTCACAACCAAAATATGTATAAATCCATTTCAGGTAACATTATTATAGCTGTAGTAACTCAGCATGCAGCTAATGATTATTTTGCTAATTGATTTAGCTGTTAATTTTTTATTTTTTTGGCTTAATCAATTAATATTCAGACAGCAAAAGGTTCCTTAAAGATGATTTTTACAGCATCAAACCAGGTGAAACTAAAACTCTTGAGGAGTTCTGGATGGAGCAACAGACGAAGTTTCTTTTAATCTTAAATGCAATATATACATAAAATATATAATA